CCCACTGTACACGCCACCAGAATGACCGAATGGAGCGCAATAATGTCTTTTCTCGCCCTCACCCTGGTTGTTACGGTTTCGCCTTTTGAATTCAACGACTCCTGCCGCGAAAGAAAGAACGTGGAACAACAAAATTATACGTATATTTATTCCTCATATTTAGTCTATATATATATATATATATATATATATATCCTTATAATCAAGCTCCAGTTAGATTATCATTAATATATACATATACATACATATATATATATATATATATATATCAAATTTTGGAAACACATATACATACCAAAGATGATAAGCATATAAAGGATTTTAATATTTAGAAGGTAGATTTATAAGAATAAATATGTCATTTTCTAACTTTATAAGGATATATATAAGAAATAATAAATTCTCAAAAAATATCTCAAGTTTCTTTTTTTTCTACCTAGTACTCCCCTTTTTTCTTTTTGAAGAGAATCCCTTATTTTACAAAAACAGGATTACCCTTGATTGTCGCGACTATCCCTTCATGCTTCGTCCCTCGTTCATTATTGTCATAATACTCTTACTCTCATTAGTCATTGTTATCATGCTCTTATCATTGTTATCTCGACCTCACCATGATTATGTTTGTTCGAATAAAGATTTATATAGACTTACATGTATAGATCATGCAATCATCCTTGGTAACAAGGTTTTCACCGGTGCAACTACTTCACCCTAGCCCACTACCTCATCTCATCCATAGAGAACCTTCACGACACTCTTTTATCGTCAATAATGATATCATTATCATCTTCGTCCACTCTCTCATCATCATTGTCATACCATCGTATCTACCTTTCGATGTAATCTTTTATCCGAAACTCCAGGAGAAAAAGCGAAAGCTTAAAATAATTTTTAAAAATTTATTATTAAAATAATTTATAAAAAAGCCAGTTCCCTATTGAGGAAGTTAATTCAGTACCTATACCTCAAGATTTGCAACCACCTTCACGGACGGTGATCCTGCGCAAGAATGGAAGTCAAAATTATAAGTCAGTGAATCTAGTAGATTTAGCTTTAATACTAATAGTAGGAAGTGGCAAGACCGGATGAACATTTAGGACTTATTATTTTATTTAAATATTTTGGTCAACTCATAGAAGGAAATCTATAAATTTATATATAAATTATTGATAAATTTTAAATCGACTTGGTTTGTTTCTAGGTTCCAACAATAAAAGTGATATTCTCATAAAATATTTACTCACGTCATTTATTACAACAACGAGTATATATATATATATATATATATATATAATATAGACGCAATCATACATATATATTTATATATCTTAAGAAGCGGTGTGATTTGTTAATTCACCCCTTTGAAA